TTATATTTTCATCATACATACCTATTTTGGTAAACTATATAAATAGAAACGCTGGAAATTATTATAAGGTTTTAAACTTGTTTTATTTATTGTATTGTAGGTACTGAAAATGCAGAACTATTTAGAAATAGAAAGGGATATTTTTCTTTGAACGTGCAAGTTGTGACAAATAGTAATTTAGAAATTACTGATGTAGTAGCTCGATGGCCTGGATCAACACACGATAGTACTATTTTTAATAATAGTCAATTGCGTGGTACATTTGAACAAGGAATACATAGAGATGGACTGTTATTAGGTGATAGTGGTTACCCTATAAAATCATATTTAATGACACCATTATTAAATCCACGAACTCCTGCTGAACAGCTTTACAATGAATCGCATATACGTACTCGAAACATAATTGAGCGGCTGTTTGGAATTTGGAAAAGACGTTTTCCAGTTTTAGCTTTAGGACTACGTTTGCAATTGAACTCAGTAATGGCTGTAATAGTAGCTACTGCTGTTTTACACAATGTTGCTCGTCAAAATGGAGATGAAGAGCCACCTGAAGATCCTAATTTAAATCTTCCAGCACCTTGGGACGAAATATTCAATTATGGCAATATAAATCCTGATAATGCAGACTACAGAAATAATGATAATGCAGCTGACAGAAGAATACTTATTAACGACTATTTTCAGAGGCAAAGAAAAATAATACAATATATACATATTTTACTTTTATAAATTATTAAAAGTAATATATATTAATAATTACACTTCTGTTTGTTACAGTTTATTGTAAATTTTGACAAAGGAATCGAAGAAAACATCGGCTGAAATAAAGTATTATATTTTAAAAATAAGCATTTATATTATTGTAATATTAATTAATTCGATATAAATAAATGTATTGTATTTCTTGAAAACATATTGTGCTTTTCTCATATAAAACATTAATAATATAATATACTTATTATATTTATATTTATTTTATAGAGCAAACTATTCATATAAACTTTGTATCAATAACAAAAATGATATTTATGTTAAATAAATAAACTTATTTGTTAATCACGCCTCTTTAGCAAAACAAATCAAAATCATTTGGCAGTAACTATATATGAGGTTATAAATGTAGCGAGAGTTTATGCAAGTAAAGTAAAATACAAGTAAGTGTAAAATACTATTCCACTCATAATCTCATATGTATGCATAAAAAAAACAAAAAGTAATCTTTCTCTAAAATTCATTCAGGAATAACATCTTTGGTTTTTTAAAAGACTTATGATAATAATAATAATAATAGTATGTATTGATGATAATAACAATAATAGCGATAATAGTGAATAATAATGAATGAATAATTTTAAAAATTCCTTCGAACTTTAGGATTTCTTTCGAATTTTAAAATAATTGACAAATAGAATTTTGTTATTATTTTTAAAAATAATAAAAACTTTTACTTATAACAAATGTTTTACTTATAACAAAGAAAAAATATATAAATATGCATATTAGGTTTATAACACGTTTTTAAATTTTAGTCGTTCTTTTTCTAAAATCAATGTCTTAAATTCTAATTCCTTCTGCATTATGTCAATTTGCAATTTTTCTTTTTGCAATAGTGTTTCTAAAATTTTAATTTCAAATTCATGTCTTTCGTTTCCATTACTTATCATTAAATTTACTAATTCTGTTTTACTATCTGCTAATGTATCACATTTTTTATTATTAACATTATTTTTTTGTTTTAATTGATTACTTGTTTTTTTTATGGTTCCTTTAAGTGCTGATGGCATAACATTTTCTTTTGATTTTTTATTTTGGTTAGTACTAGCTGAATAATCCATAAGTGGCACAGACTTATTTGTGTTTGTTGATGTTCTGAGTGGAGTGCTAATTTGTGTTTGTAATTTTTGGGGATTACAATTTTTCCAATTTAATTTGTTTTTTTGAAGAAACTGTAAAATAACAATGAATAACAATGAAATACAAAGGATTACACAGCGCTCATATAATATTTTACACATTATTATAAATAATATTATTCGTTATTAATTACGTTTAATACGTCTTCCTCCTTATCAGATTCATCATTGTCTTTTTTGCCATCAGTCTCATCTTCTATATTATCTTCGGTTATTTCTATAACATTTTCACTTGCTTTACGTAGCCATTCTTCATCAAATGCTTCAACATCGTCTGTAATATAAATAAAATAACATTACAATAAAATGCATTAGGAGAAATAATTTAATTACATATAACTAATTGTAAGATTATTAAATGAAAAATATTTTATGGACTTAATTATAAACATTATAAAAATAAAATATAATGTATTATACATACTATCAAATCCTGCAATGCAATCACTATCTAAATCATTCGATAGGCCTTCTACTGCCGGTCTTATTATTTCTCGGACTTGTTCAGCTATTGGATCACTTATAGCCTTATATTGTCCTCCACCTACAAAAATACACAGCTTTTTTATTACAGATATTTGATTGTAATTAAAGTATATCGTTGCTTATTTATGTAAAGTTTACATATATCAAACAAGTAACAACCTGTTTTATAAATTGCCTGTTTCTCCTCAGCAAATTGTTTTTTTGTTCTTTTCTTTATATTTTCCCAACATGTTTTTAGAGACTGTACAGTTTGTACAACTCCTTTAGAACGAGACATAAAATTTATTCACAAATTCTCCCAACAATCTTCTTTTTCTTTCATAGAAATACTATTTGTTGTTTTATTTTCTAATATTTTACATCTTTCTTGTATTAATTCGATAAGAAGCATTTTTTCAGATTCACTAAAATTTTTGGTTCTTTCTTTTTTATTTGCTTGGTCCATTTGTACATGTATATCTATTTTTATAAAGAGACTCTAAACACAGAAAAGAAACAATTTAATTTATTTAATGCAAGAGATTATATAATATCTATTTTATACCATAAATTAGGTTAAGAAATTACTTCTAGAAATTGCTCTTGCTTGTCGATTATCTGTGTTTATATATTCCAATATTTGATACAATATTTGAATAATTATACTGATCTATATATATCAGCAACAAGACTTTTTAACATACAACGATAACAATTTGTTGTCAAAATAACTGATTGACGACGAAAAACCATGCGTTGATTATAATTAGGTTAGATTTTTATTATGACATGTGATACACTCTTTAGCTGTCCACCAATCACATCATTTGTTACTAAATACAATTCGAGTTAGCAGTGTTAGCACGCATTAGATATACGTTCAGTTGATCAGAACGAAGGTAAAGTTGAAGGAAAGTAAAATAAGTTGACCGAAAATTAAACTGCGTTCAAAGTTGAACGCAGTTCACAAGAACTCTGAACTGAACCACTTTGGAGGAAATGGGCCTTAATTAATCAAAATTACACTTGAACAGACTCGAAACACACTCTGATAGCGTTTTCGGCCCGATCGGGTTTGCACCAACCTGGGTTGGATTAATCTTTCCTATTGGTTGATGTCACACGCTCTACCAATAGGAGAGCGCAAAATGCCATTAATCCAACCCAGGTTGGTGCAAACCCGGTCGGGCCGAAAACGCTATAACTCTGCTCCCGAGCAGAGGCGAAGTGTGTCGATTGAGTTTGAACAAAATTGTAAATGGAAAGCGACGTGTGTCGATTTGTGTCAAGTGTGTCGACTGTGTCTCCTAAAAGGAAAGCAGCCATCGCATATTGCACACATGTATCGTTGATTGTACGTACCAAGCTAAGAGAGTTCATTGGAAGATTATTTTTTTAAGAAGATTTTATATTTCTATCTCACATTATCCTACACGTCTTATCTTGTTTGACATAGTTTAAAGGCAGTTTCATAGGATGTCGGCCATGTTTAGTACTCTCCTTAGCACTTTTGTCATACTGACTAGAGTCCTATAGCGTTTTCGATTGGGGTGCACTGGCTGCACTCAGTGTCAAGAGCGTGTTCGATTGGCAG